GAACCTGAGGCTGGGGCTGTGTCGATCCGCATGTGGCAAAAGGCTGAAGACCGCTCGGTAGGAGCCGCCGTCCCGTCCGTTAGCCTCGCAGCCAGGAATGTGGCGGGAGCCCTTCTCCGCAGCAGCGGCAGCAGCAGATCCTGCCGCGCCATCTCCCTGCGACTCGGCAACTAAGGCCTTCACTTCTGCAAAACCAGCCACCAGCACAGTTCTGAAGGCCACGTGGCAGAAGACTCCCAGTGCAAGCAGCAGCCCCCCGAGGGCACATTCTCTCCCGTGGTAGCTCCTCCATGCCAGCTGGGCACATGCAGGACTGCAGTACTTGCTGTAGCTGCACCCTTGGCAGGGAACTGAGGCCAGCAGTGGGCGCAGGCAATGGTGGCAGTGGAGGTCAGTGTTAGCCAGCTGCCCGTCCCGCAGGGTCTGGGCGCTCCCTTCAAGCAAGAGGCTTTCTCCGGGGCAGAGCACGCTGACGAAAGCCTCCTCCCTCACCAAGAGTTTTCCAGCAGGGATATCCTCGGCGGCAACTAAGTGGCGCCCTTTGCACGTGGAAAAGTCCAAGCTCACAGACACTGAGGCCCCAGAAACACTGCTGCTCTCCTCCCATGGCTCGGGGCCCAGTTGAACCTGGCCGGGGGCGGCGGACAGGTGGTCGAAGGCCCTGCTCTCCTTACAAGCCTTGGCCCGCAGCTGATCCAGCTGGCCAAGCAGCAGCCGGCGACGGGCAGCCTCTGGCCGCTGGTCTGCAGACATTCTCTCCTCCACGCCGTGGAGGGTTTCTGCCGCTTCCTGCAGTCGGCCCAAGGACAGGAGGCATTCGGCTTTCCGGAGCAAAATCTTGGGCAGCAGCTTCTCCGGGCAGCTTCCAACCTGCTGCACCCTTCCAATGTCTTCCAGACAGATCTGCAAAGAGGAAAGGAAGGCCTCCTAGCTGCCGGAAGGAGTCGGGATGCAGCGCTGCCCCGGATTCTTGGCTGCTCCCTTCTGTGCTATACAGCGGAACGCCTGACTCAGAGCCGTTCCTCCTCTGCCCCGCCACTTGTCGGAGGCAATAAAGAGTTTCGAGAAGAAGCGGCCACGTACGAAGGAGTGTGCAAACACGAGGGAACTGTCCAGAAAGGACTGGATGATTTAGCATGAAGTCTACTGAGCGTCATTTCCTCTTCTTATCCTGCACTTAATTTCCTTCACTTATCATCTTACCCCTTTCTGCCCTTCGCATTATGCTCTTAGCCCCGAGAGGACCAGTGGAACGGATGTATCTACGTACCCATGAAGTCGAGGCTGCCACTGCACTTTCTTCCCCAGGGACTCACCAGGCAAACGCTTCTCCCCTCCAGCTGCTCAGCTCTTTCCAAATGTCTACGTGGAGAAGATCTTGCACAGCATGCCGGCAGCACGGTCACCAACTACCCGCTACCTTTCTGCTAGCGGTTGGACATCTCGAAATTTCTTTCATCTGTGTTCCCTTCTTTAGTAAACGTTATTTCATTTCTTTCTTTCTTTGCTTATTTATAATGTATAAGGCCACCCAATTCTACAATAATTCTGGGCAGCGTGCAATAAAAACACCAACCAAATACGCTACATACATATATGAGCTACACGCATTCGCCTCCATTGCTGACACTCCGTCCAAATGGGAAACCCCAAACATCCGGAGAAAACACCCATCCTCGCCCCTCCAGAGATACAAAGGACCCACCCCCCACCCCAAGCCTAGCCAAGCGCCGTGTTTTCAAGGCTCTTTTAAGCACAGTCAAGGTGGGGGGGCAGACAAATCTCAGGGGTGCGAGGAAAATGAGGAAAATGCATATTTGGGTGAATCTTTGGGTGAAAGAAGCAAGTTTTTAGAGGCCTCAGACGAATGGGATCGCCTTGGTAAAACTGAAACAAAAAGGAATGTGCGGCACCCTTGAAGCCGGTGTGAACTAGGCCGATTGTAAACCCCTTATCACAAACATCCCCAAGAGCAACGCAAGGGAGGGCGCCTTCTTCCTGGCAGCTGGCACCCTGAACCATTTGTTTCTTCCCCTCTGACACTACTGCTCTCCTTATAGATAGCAGTTGTCCTGTCCTTGTAGATAGCAGAGAAGAGAGGGCCAGAAAGTAACTTGAGAAGAGTCGCTCATTAAAACGTACCTGCATCGTCATATGAATACGTATACGTATGTGCTCTTTTCCCTTCCCCTTCTTGTAGAACTGTATAAACGTCAGGGCGTCCATTCTGCCTGCAGGGGAGCGTCTCCCACTAACCTTCGGTGGGGTCCCCCTCCAGTACGTGTTGCCTAATAAGCACTGTAGGGAAGCCCTGGTGGTTTTGCCTTTGGGTCCCGCGTTTTGATCCCACAGAGGGCTGGTGTTCCAAATGGCAGGTGCAACGACAGAGAAGGCATTCTGTCAAGATAACCTACTTACTCGTTCTTTGCCATTTATTGTAGCTTGCAGTTGTTCTATCCTTTCTCCCCGTTCAAGCACAACCACCTTGGACTTTGCTGCACTGATTTTCCAGTCCATACTCCTCGTTGCATTACATGATCTAGCTAACGTTCCTTGCAAATCAATCAGGTTCTCAGCCAGCAACATGGCATCACCAGTATGCATTCAGCCTCCAATCAACGCACCTCTAAGATCACCATAAGCCTCCCACACAATTTATCCCTATCTACATTAAATAACCAAGGAGGCATCACATATCCTTGTCTTACTCCTCGTTTAATTCACTAACCCACTCGTTAAACACTCCATTTATTCTCATGAACGCTCTGCTTGTACTGTATACTGCTCTTCTTGCATTCAGCAACCAATTTTCAATAGTGCACGACATTCCATAATTCAAGTCTGTTTGCTTTTTCATACTTTTCCTCATTAGCAATTGCACAGTAAACTCAGTCTCAATTCTAAGATTTATCTCAATGAAGTTCCTGGGGAAAGCATTAACAGAGTTAATTGCAGCTTCGTTGCTGAACTGCTGACGAGAACAAAGAGTGATTGTCCGAGTTTTAAGCAATACTCACCCTGAGCGAGCATCCTCTCCGTGCTGTAAAAAATACCGAGTACTAGAAAATGCTCCTTTCTATAGCCATCAGGCAGGCAAACCGCCCTTAAACCAGAAGGAATATAATGTCTTAGAGAGTAGGGGGGAAAGTTTTGCTTCTAGGAGGAAAGCACTCTGAACTTTGAGTAAAAGCACTTTATTCAAACTCACCTCAAACTGACCAAGATGGAAAAGAGCTGCAGAGCGATTGGCGTAACAGACGGCCATCTCAGGGCTGCCAGCCTCTGTATGGGACAATGCCTGCAAAAATCAAAGGCGGAGGGGACACAGTAAGCGCAGCCAGAGCCAGCACGTTATAACTCACGTCAGTCACACTGAACAGCCTCTGCAGGAATGGCACAGATCAGAATCCCTTCCTCATCTACATTTATCAAGGCTGTGACCCTACAAAATTTGGGGAAGGGTCTAGACTAAAATTTATGCCTAGGTTGTACGTAGACGCCTCTACTCCATGAGGTGCAGGTAATGTTGTTACCTGCATCTCATGGAGATGTTGTTTACAGCCCAAATAACCAGAGTTGTTGTTGTTGTTTAGTCGTTAAGTCATGTCCGACTCTTCGTGACCCCATGAA